TTGAGAATGTGTGCCTCCTTGACGAGAAATCTGAGATACCACCATGAAATTATGGGAATGTATCATGACAATTTTTCCCTTCAAAGAGAGACCAACCTTGAACCATTGCCCAGTTTACTGCAAGGAGTTCGAGAATGTTGATATGGAGGGTAGACTTGTCTTCTATCCAAATACTCTGGAACTCCTGACCTTGAAGATAAGCTCCCCATTCCTGAAGAGATGTGTCTGTGAACAGATGGATCTCAGGATGAGGTGGTGGAATGGGTACCCCAATAGTAGTTTTGTTCTGATCCAACCAACATTTGCAATCAACAATGTTGTCCTGAATAATGAGACTGGATGATCCAAAGGGTTGGAGTGTATGATAATATGTGCTCATCCCAAAGGAATGACAGACTTGAGGGATGCCCACATTCCCAAAAGAGAGAGAACCATCTGCACAGTAGGAGAAAGAGACACAAGTAAAAGCCTAATGGCTCTTTCCAATGGCTTGATTGAGCATAACTTTAGCGAGCATTGAAAAACACACCCAGATGGACTAGATATTGAGTTGGTGGCAGAATAGATTGCTCCAGTCTCATAAGGAAGCTCATTTTTCTGGCTTCTAAAAAGAGACTCTGAGAGTGTTGTTCTGCTAATTGACAGGATTGTGCTAAAAGAAGCCAGTCATCCATATAATGATGTTTGCAACGGCCCAAGGAATGCAGATGATAAGAAAAAACTCGAACTAGTCTGCAGAAGACATAAGGTGCTGATGCAAGACCAAAAGGTAGAGCCCCAAATTACAGCACTTGATCCTTGTGCACAAATATGAGAAACCTCTGTGACGATTCTGCTATGGGAAAATGGTGATAAGTGTTGCTAACATCAAACTTGGTCATCCAGAGCCCTGGTGCAAAGTGCCATCATAGGTTGGGAAAAGATTCCATAGCAAAGCGAGGAGGATCTAAAAATTGGTTGAGTCAAGACAGATCAATGATTGGACGCTAATCTCCTGTCTTCTTGGGTACAACGAATAAATGGGAATAAAATCCTGGAAGAATGGTATCTCTTATGGCCTGGAAATGAAGCTCCATTCACCATGGATCTGTTGGAGGTTGTGCAGATAATGGTAGAAGTGATGTAAACTGAAAGACCAACTCTGAAGCCAGAACATGGAGTACCAATGAATCCCTGGTGAAAGAACTCCAGATGTCCAGAAAGTGATGTAATCGTGCTTCCATTACTCCCCCACCATGGGATAGTCACCAATGCCATTGTCGATGGTCCGTCCAAGCCAAAGATCCTCGAGAATAGGGCCGGGCTCTATTATAGGAACCAAAGGAGAGGGTCGGGAAACTACGAGCCTACACTCCCAAATTAGTGCCAGAAAGACGAGAAGCCAATGACAAGAAAGAAGAATGTAAACAATCTGAATCAATTCGTGATTCTAACATCTTTGGAACTCCAGTAAACAACATGGGACAGAAAAATGGAGCTTCTTGTAAATATCTGAGGGCAGAAGACAGTTAATCCTTTCTAACAAAGTGTCTCTACAAAAAAAATTCCAAAAACAAACCAGCCAGGAAACCAAAGAAAGAACTGAAGAAAACAATCTGACAATGGTAGATATCAGCAAAATCCCCAACTCGTCTTCAACTTGTTGAGGCAAATGTTGATTGGCTTCCGACAAAAGTTTGATAGAAGACAAATACCTCAGGACAGTCGTGAGAGTAAGATGAATCCAAGACAACTGTGATCTGTTCAAAGTGATCACAGGTTCCAATCTAGACCCCTACAGGTCCAAAAGAGGGTCCATCCATTGAGAATCTAAATATACCTCCTCCTGGCAGTGATAAGCCAAAGCATGCTGTTCGATAAACAAGGGGGACAAGCCATAGCTATCCCATCATGTAACTGAATGGCAAATCTCCCAGCATGAATAGCAATATCAAAAGGAGGAGGAAAAACAATTAGTTACTTGTCATACTTTCAGCCAACAAGAAAGGAGTAGGTTCAAATGCAATAGGAGAGACCCCCAAAAACCTCACAAATCTGAGTAACCAACTGAAGAAAAGGGGCTGGAGGTGGCTGATCAAGATGATCCTTTGTTGAGGCCAACCTAGTAAAAAAAAAGGAACTGGAAAAGGTGAGTCTAAATTCTCCCCAGCTAGTCCTGGGTCATTTGTAAAATCGGCCTCAGAACCCCCTAGAGAGAGACACCCTCAGTCCACATATGTCTCTATCTCACAATAGATCATATCACGGACAGCTTTGATTGAGAGCGACCCTTCCCCTAGCTGTTAACAAACACCAGATAGTAGAGACAGAAGAAAAGAGTTCTGGTTGGCCTCCATAGTAGAAACATTAACTCAGGAATTCATACCCGTAGGTATGTTTTTTTTTTTTAATATAATTTATAAATAAACGAAGATATAACTGTAGTAACGCCAACCATGTTCGAAGTTGCAAAGTAAATTGTGAATAAGCACAACACTTCTGTTTATAGAAACCCATGCTGAATGCTTTGTTGAGAAAAAGTGATTACATTAACTGAATGAGGTGCTTATATACAGTACCAAGATAGAGGGTGCACTGAAGTTGGTGGAGAATTTTGCAAATTAGAATTTGCCAAGAGCACTTGAGTGGGGTATAAAAGACTGGGGCAAATGTTTTCAATGCTTAGATAGGCAAAGAGAGGACTCCCATCCCCAATTTAGCAGTGTAAGACTAGAGGGAAGGCAGCTAGTCATCACCACCCATTGTCAACTCTTGGGATACTCTTTTACCAACGAATAGTGGGATTGACCGTTATATTATAACGCCCCCACGATTGAAAGGGCGAGCATATTTGGTGTGACGGGGATTCGAACCCGCGACCCTCAGATTGCGAGTCGAGTGCCCAAACCACCTGGCCATGCCGGGCCCCCGGGAGATTGAGAAATAGCAATAGTATCAGCGGAGGTAAGTATGTTTTGAAACAAGAGAATTTAATTGAAATATCAGGTGATTAAGGATTGAAAACTGCTTTCAAGAGTCAGCTGTTAATCAACTTTTGATTATATATTAATGATAAGTATCCCCTACTTTCAGAAAAGCTGTTATAATTTTGCCACCTTTTTTGACAATCTATTAATGTGAGAAAGCTTTTTTATCACACACCACTTTGAAAAAATAAAAACCTGACAGGATTAATGCTGAACCAGACTTGTAACTTTAACTTTTCTTCTGTTGCTTCAGATTTTCAAAGCCTTTTGTGCATCTAAACAGGCCCAAATATCACATTAAACCTCTACTGCCCAATTGTTGTTCATGACAAAAAAAAATGTTTGCACACAGTTAATTTTAGGATTGATGATTCTAAAATTGAAACAGGTATATAAAAATATATACTGTAATTTTAAGTGTTTATTTTAAATATTATGACCTAATATTTTTATATTAACCAAAAATATAGAGGTTCTCGGAACACTGCTCTACTTGATGTCTTATGAAGTACCATCATGTCAAACTGTTTTAATCATGCACCATGTTACACACCCTCATCAAAAGAATAACATCATATTTCATAACAATGAATGCCAAATGAACTACTATCAGATACAGATATTACAATCAAAGATAGTGAAAAGAAACAGCAACAGGGACAATGATGAAAATGAAGATCTTTAGGGTGAGTTATGACTAATGAAGTTAAGTTCATACTTCTGCATTTTAAACACTAAGTGTCACATAATTATGGAGCAGAACTTGATTACTGCATTGAAACCATCTTGAAATGCACTACAAAAAAAATTACATATGCTTCAATTTAGGTACATTTAATTCAGGTTCCTGACAGTGAAGAGTACTGGTGTGCTGCATTTTAACTATAGTATGCAAAAACCTTGACAACTTTTGAGAAAATTACCTTCCAAGGTCCCAAAAGGTCATAATAATGAAGTTTCACAAAGGTAGTTTTACTTATCCTGATTTATGTCTTTTAATGACTATAATACATAAAACCTCCTGCAAATCCTACATATAGATTACCACAACCATGATGAGGCAGATTAGCTCCTACATAATCATTTAATCTGAGCATTCAGCATAAAAAATAAAAAAAGATCCGGGCAATTATAAAAGATTAAAATCATTGGTTATATAAAGATTTGCAATAAACAGTTGCTGAAGAGCCATCTTGTAAAAAAAGAAAATACTTAAATAGGAAAATAGTAAAGGCATAAAACATTTAAGCAAGCCAGTGTTAAATAATCTTTGTGTACATTAAAAAAACGTTTTACCATAAGAAATGATTTTATTTATTTTTCCAACAGATTCTTCTTACTAAAAGTTATTTCTAATAAATATTTTTAGGAGGGTGATTTCCAAACATAAGGTTCCAAGAAACAGGCACTTTCCAGCTTTTGTTTTTTTCAGAATCACTTCCAGAAATCTGAAAAGTAAAAAATACAAATAAACTGGTTTCAGATAATAAAAATATGTGGTTGAATCAGAACAAAATCATTTCTTATACACAAAGCTTCTATAATATAGTACCTTTTGTGAATATTTACAGCTATTATAAAACTAATAATCTGAAAAAAAGTTACTTGGTTGAAAGGAGAATAGTGTTTGACAGATAATCATAACTACTTTGTTTTTCATTACTCTATGCACAATTATAATAAATTTAAGCTTGTCCAGAATAAAAAGGAGAGAAAAATAGTACACAAGTACAACTAAGCTTTCAGTTTACCTTGGCAAAAAATAAGAAATAATTTCTATTTAAGTCTCAAATTACTCTCTTGTTTTTATACCATTCACTACAGGTGCAGTCCACATACTGCATCATATTGAATAATTTTATATTTATGCCTGTTACAGTACTCAGTGTAGAAAAAAATACAAAACAACTGAGTGCAATAACTCATTTTCTATGAAAGGTACTCAGGGCAGACCAAATAAATTAGTGAGATTAATTACAATATTGATGTTATTCTTGTTTACATTTCTTACATAAATAACATAATAAGGACTCTGTAACAAACAAAATGATTGATTCACAAGAAACTTGGAACATAAATAGTTTAGAATGATGTGTTTTAAAAATCCCACAGGTAAAAAATACACACAACAAATGTGGTACAAACATACCATCAATCAGATTTAACCACTATTCACTAATGCTACAAATGGCATAGCAAGAAAATAGTAATTAAAAAATCAAGCAGATTGTTTACTTGAGAAGCCCACTACATCCCATATTTTTACTACATTTAGATGTATGAAGCCAGTTATAGAAAAGAGGTTTTCAAACATTATATATGTTATAGCAAACATTGCCTCACTTGTTCTCCTTTAATTACTAACCCTATATGCATGGGCTCAGGTCATTGGACCAAGCCTGCACTGAAAAATTAATACATAATATAATTCTGAATTTATTACATTTCTTCATAAAATCTTGGAAGCTTTCAGTAAACATTAATATTATGTTATAGAAAAAAAAGAATTTTCAATATGGATTTTACTGGAATTTACCAAGTCAGTCTGACTCAGACTCTGAATAGTCTGAGTGCAAGGTGAATTTCATGTTAAGAATAAAACTACTTTTTTTTCATCTTACAGCTTTCATATTTCATTTCCATAACCTCTAGAGCTTCCTAAATGAATATTAAATTTTTTTTCTGTAAAACATTATATTTTACCTGTTATTTTCTTTACCCTAACACTAATTGTATACAGGTCCATTAAATTTCAAAGATCTTGTAACCATGTGACAAAAACAGCGAAAAAAATCTAAATTGTCCCTTTTTTGTCTTTATAGAATGACTGCATATTGTAACAGACAATTACACACTATTTATACTTACAGCCAAAGCTAATATTTTTCAAATCTCCTGGTTATCTAAATTTATTGCTTTACAGATGCACTTTAAGCATGGCAAAAGCAATTTATCACAGCAGGACAATTTTGTATAAACAAAGGATTAAATAGCCAGCATTTATTGTCAAATTAAATCATCTGTACTCACAACATGTGCATGCTCTCAAGTATTTTTTACTTAATTTTTTTTCTATTTCAATTTTCTTACGTAACCTAATAAGTTTCTAAGTATGATGTTTTACTTATTTTAATAACAATAAATAAAAAAATATACAAAAAGACATAAAATTTAGTAATTACATGTGGTTCTTGTACTTTTTTGCTTTTGAAGTCTTGATAAAAGTTAACCCTACTGATATTTTATTTTTTGCCGAGTTTTCTTTATTACTTCACTTAATCTTTCTTTGTTTCAAATATGCAATTTAGAATATAAGATAACACACACACACACACACACATAAAGAATACAATGGCCTATAACTATTATAGTTTAACTAGCTTTGTAATTAAACTATAAGTGGGTTAAAATAATTCTCATGACTGATTGAGATGACTCAGCAATAGCAAAAAATCAAACTGTAAACTGAATAATAAATCAAGTTCTAACAAACTAGCCTAACATAAGGAAAGCAGCAAGTGTCAGGGAGAATTAGTGACATTTTTTGAAAGAATGTGGAAGGAGGCATAAACGTTCACTGAAAATTTTCCAGGGAGAGGACAAAGTCAAAATCAAGGAACGATGGATCTGCCTTCAAATTTTGCCATTACAGTTAAGAGAACAGGCAAGCTCCTACAGTCAGATTTGAATGGTTTAATATTTCTAAGGTTAGTTTAAGCTATACTGCAGACTTGCAGCTACATATACTCCATAACAGTAAATTCTGGTTAACCCAAACTACGCTGTCTAATGGCATGTCTGCAAGACTGTAACAATCTCTTTTATAACCTGCTGCCAGTATTACCAGTAGGTGGCAACAGGTTGACCCCGATCACATTGTGTCAGGGCTCATGGGATGTTGGCAATATCCCGTTGGTCTCTTTGATGACCTGAGTTAAAACTGCCATGTCCAATATTCAAGAAGCTGCCATGGTAGTGATGTTTTTCAATATTTAACTACAGGGTAGGTATCTAGAGATTTTAAGTAAAGCTGCTGGCAAACATGGCAACTTTTATTAGAATTGAAAATCAAGTGTAATAAATATAAACTCCATGACAGAAACAAAATGCACAAACTCAAACACACTAATAAGTGTCTTACTATATCATGGCTATGTAGCCAAAAACATCATAAACATTTGGAAACAAGTATCAAAAGAATACATTATAAATAGCAAAGTTACTTTTATTCCAAAACCAAACACCAAAGTCAAAGTTCCTCTTAGGAAGGTATATTCTGGTAACTTCAATGACAGAAGCTTCTACAAGCATGAATGTGGTAACACTTATATAGGCAAAATAGGACACAACATAAGCATTAGGATCAAAGAACATAATAATCTCCCATCACAATGAACCAACATCCAATTAACATCAACAACTTTTAAATATTGTGCAATGAGAACAACATTAATAGAAGAAAAATAAAAGAAACATTAATTATTTGTGAACTAAAACCTAATTTAAATCAAAACACTATATGTTTCTAACTTGGAACAAAATTCTCCTGCAGTATTTCACACAATTGATGACAGCTACCCAATGGCCATGAGTGGTCGAAACAACGAGTGGTTGTAATAAAGTTAAACAAAAAAATTTGAAATAATCCACTCAATAGCTGTATCTTTGGGCTTTTATTTCGTTTGGTAGAGAATGTTGAAAAACTCCAATTAAAAAAGCTATGGTGACTTTGTCTCCATGGAATGCAAGCTCTAATCCATAGATGGCATTCAAGCATATTAAAAAAAATTCAAAAAATAGCTAAAATTGGATAGATATAATATATAATTGAAAACCAACATTGATACCTAATGATGCCATGTTAACAGTGGCAAAACATTGTTTTTAAATGATATATTTTTTCTATCCCATTTTAGCTGTTTTTTGAATTTTTTAAATTTTGTAGAGTGTGGGATACCTCCAACATTTTATTTCATTCAAGCATATTTTTATTAAACTAGAAAATTGTGTGGATGTCACAACATTACAGTCAGAAAACAAAAAATAAGAAACTACAAATCAGATTTATAATGGTACTTATTGATAAAGCATATACCAATAATTTTATACTTTTTTAAAGATTTATGAATAAATTGTTATCAACAAAATGAATTTCACCAATACTTCTCATTTAGCGGGTTAAAGCAGTAATTTGGTATGATAAGTTGTTGAGAGGAACTAGCTACATCAATTTTGAAGAAATACGGTTGAAAATTTTTGGTGACCCCCACCCCCAAAACATTTTCATTCTAACTACCCTTATGCTCTCATGGATCATCTAAAAATTCACTTATGATGACTGTAAAGCCACCTATATTGACAAAACTAAACATCAATTAAAAATACGAGCCTAAAAACAAATGGGAGTTTCAAGCAGAAGCTGTCCACTGGTAAATCCTTATGCTTCTACCATTTGCCTACATTGTGAAATTAATAACCACTCGTTCTCTGTATGCAATTTTTTAATCTTAACATCAGGGTTATCAGACTACGAAGTTCTGATTAAAGCAAACTTATTTATCTCTAATGAACACTCAAATCTAATTTTTTTCTCAGCTTTTCTTACTTTATTATCTAATTTCTATTTTATTTTTCTTCAATCATTAAATGTTTTCCAGCTTATGTTGTGTTTTTCTGTACTACTGCTTTGCAGTACTTATTATATATGTACATTTACCATATATACATATGTTTCATGTAATTTTCTAGTTTGCTGATGATGGAATGTGTAAATTCTGAAGTGTTCAAAGTTAAAGAGAGAAACAAAACAGCCTACCATTTCTTGACATAATCATCATCATCACACAAAAAAAAAAATTACTACAGCTGTATACAGAAAATCTACCCACACCAGTAGCAGGATAACACAACCTCCATGCACAGTAACTCCTCTTAGGCACTCATGATAATGTCATTCTTTGAAGAGGCAAGACAAAAAATGTGCACTGGTAGTGGGGAGGATGAACGGGAATGTGTGTATCTATTGAAAATACATTTTCAGATTAGGAAAATGTTAACTTTCAAGACGATAACTCACCTCTAAACACAAAAATACTAGAATCCCATATTGAAATGGTGGAGAGACCATTGCAAAATTTTACTTAGCTGAACTCCCTTCAGAAAAGGCCCAAAGAAAAGCTCAAAAGAGGCATACCTATAGAAGATCACATTTTATGTAGTGTGACTGTACAGAGTGTGCTCACCTCGACTCTACTAAAAATGCATTTGCTGCAGGAGGAGGGCACATTATTTATGTATTATGATTTTAAGCAATGACCTATATGACAATGAGAGTGTCACCACCATTCAACTTATCACCATATTGTTCTACTCCCTACCAGTGAAGATTCTCCACTGGCCAAAAAAATAGGCAGTCACTTCTGTGGTTCTGGCTTTTTCCATGACAGCC